TTTTAAAGACATTTCTAAAACGATTAGCACCGGTAGATGAAGCCTATATGGGCATTCATTACACTTGCAATGATTCTGTGAGTTTTGAGTTTTTCCAAATAAAAAGGTTAAAAAATATGTAACCGACTTAATGGGGAAGCAGGGTTTTGCCTTAGAATTTGCGTTTCTTCCAATTTGTACTTCTTTCTCATTTACATCCCTTTATTTATAGCTTTTTAATTGTTTTTTAATGTTTATTTAGTTTTGAGAGAGAAACAGAGCGCGAGCAGGGGAGGGGCAGAGAGAGAGGGAGACACAGAATCTGAAGCAGCTCCAGGCTCCAAGCTGTCAGCACAGAGCCTGATGCGGGGCTTGAACTCATAAACCATGAGATCCTGACCTGATCTCGTGAAGTCAGATGCTTAACCAACTGAGCCACTCGGGCGCCACCCCTCCCCTCCATTTACATCCCTTTAAAATTATGTATCTTCTATTACTAGAAACGTCAGGCATTTTCCCAGATGGTCTTTTAGCAGTTATGTTTTCCCTGATGTTTTCATACCCCTATATCTATGTATCTATTAGGGTCATAAATTTTTATTGTTAACAATTTATGTGGGATTTTCATGTGATAAAAACATTAGTCTGTCACATTTGCTACAAATCTTTTATCTAGTCATGCTTGCTTTTCATTCTTGCCCTGATATCTGCTTATTTTTATTTTTACATGGTTGGCTCTGTTCATCCACTGACTTTCTCTGTGATTTCTATTGTCGTTTTTAAGCTAAAAAAAATCCCGCTGAAAGATTGCATAACTAATCAGCCCCACTTCTGTCCAGATAGGTTTTGCTTGTTTGCTTACTCTTTGCCCGTTTCCCCCACCTAAGTCCCCCCACTTAATAGAGCTCAGGGGTTAAGTGACTTGCTCAGGGGCGCACAGCCAGTAAAAGGCGCAGGTGGGATTGGAACCCAGGCCCATCTGAACTCAAGGCCCACATATGTGACATCTGGGCCATTGTGGCGCCTTCCTCATCAATGTCCAAGCACAAGTCTTAGTCTGATCTCTGGGGGTTCCATGGAACAGGGCTCACCCTTCTTGTTCCCACTTGTCCTTGACCACCTACCTCTCCCAGATGTTCACCTCACCAATGTCGCTGTGCAAAAGACCTCTCCTGACTACCATCCAAAGAAGGTGAGGAAGCTGTGCTTCTGGCCTCCAGAGCCAGCCTTTTGGGACTGGGTTGGGGTGAGGAGATGGTGTGCCACGGAGCCCAGGACAGGCCAGTCTTGGGCTCATAGTTCCAGTTCATCAGTGAGGTCAGGACC